ACATTTGAAATCAGAATTATTAGCTCCCCTTTAATTATTATTATTATTATTTTTTTATATTTCCCAAATTATGTTTAACAGAGCAAGGAAGTTTATACAGTGTGTCTGATAATATTTTTCTTCTGGAGAAAGTCTTATTTCTTTTATTTCGGCTAGAATAAAAGCAGTTTTTAATTTTTAAGCTCCATTTTAAGGACAATATTATTAGCCCCTTCAAGCTATTTTTTCCCCGATAGTCTGCAGAACAAACCATCGTTATACAATAACTTGGCCAATTACCCTAACCTGCCTAGTTAACCTAATTAACTTAGTTAAGCTTTTAAATGTCAATTTAAACTGTATAGAAGTGTCTTGAAAAATATCTAGTCAAATATTATTTACTGTCATCATGGCAAAGATAAAATAAAACAGTTATTAGAGAACAGTTATTAAAACTGTTATGTTTAGAAATGTGTTGAAGAAATGTTCTCTCCGTTATTTTTATTTTTTAACTTTTTAAACCCCTTAGCATAATTTAAGTCTCACAAGCCTGAGTATTGTTGCTGACCATATGCATTACTTTATGAACACAGTGCACCAGTCTTGTGAAGGACCAGCTGTATATTGTACATTAACACAATGCTCTTATAATCTTTTATGTAAAGAAATATCTATACGCAAATGTCCTTCACAGCCACCAGACATTAGCCTAATTTGGGATTTGAAACCCTTTACAACCCCTGCTAACAAGCTACATGATTTTCCAATAATGCTTTTTTATCACTGTCCGCTAGATGGCAAAATTGTGTAACTTAACAACGATTTTCCCCTCTCTGACGTTTTTAAATTAACTTCAAATTGCTGGTTGTGTACACTCAGAAAAAAAGGAACAAAAACCTGTCACAGTCAACACACAGCCTTTTCAAATCGTACACTTTTGTACCTCAAAAGCACAAATGAACACCAAAAACAGTACAAACATGTACCTCATGTCATGGTACCTTAAAAATACAAAAGTGTGCCTTTACGGTATCAATGTGGCCTATTACAAAATTCTCCTCCTGTGACAGACTTTGTAACTTTCTGAGAGCGTACACAAGTTATTTATATAATTGTATAAAACTAGTTTGTAGATTGCATAATTTAGGATTTACTAGTGTACTGCATACACATTACTGAGCACTATTTAGTAGGATTTTTGAAGGTAGACTGTAGAGGTTCTAACATAAATCATGATTTCGTCTAGGGTCAGAAATACCAGGTATTACACCATTTATTCCAGTTTGGTTTATGTGATTCGTGTAAAAAATCAAGAGTTCATATTTTTACAAGATTAATTTGGTCTAGCTGTATTCAGGATGAGGTGTTAGTGAGGCCAGCAGGGAGTGCTCAACCTGTGATCTCTAATGCTGAGTTCACACCAGAAGCGGATGAAGCCGCAAAGTCAATGCAAAGATGTAAATTGACATCCTGCAGCACAAACGACGCGATTCGTGTGAACAAAGCAGCGTGAATTTGAGTAACACACGTATTGCACATTTCACACAAGACACTCAAGTTGGAAAATCTGAACTTCAGCGGACATTCATGTTGCGTTAACCAATCATGAGCTTGCTTTATTAGGGGGATGACATAGTGCCTGTTGTTGATTTCCTGGGGGGAAATCTTCTTGCCGACATCGAACAACAGTACATGAAACTGGGCTTGGCTCAGTCTGAAGCACCGCTGAAAGCCTATATCATCCAGGTATAGTTTCTGCAGGAGTTGATGAACTTACAGAACTGGGTGCACCTCTGCAGAGATCGAGTGCATTCAGACACTTTATCAAACAAATCGACGCTGTTTTTCAGCCTTCCTAAAGAACATAAACCCAGCTATTCTCTTAATAAAATCCATGTTAACCATTTAGCAACGAAGCTAGAGTCACCGGGCAGACAGAAGCTCCGCCCATGATGTGAATCCGCATCTTTTGTGAAGTGAATTTGTTGGCGAATGAAGTGAGTAAACTCAAATGATCACGCTTCTGCTTACTTGCAAATAGTTTGATTTATTTACACTTTCCGCATCTGGTGTGAACACAGCCTAAGGATCCTAATGCCCCAATATAGTGATGGGGGACTATACTGTCATTGACCACCGTCTTTCGGATGAGACCTAAAAACAAATGTTCTGACTGTGGTCATTAAAAATCCCAGGATGTCCTACGAAAAGAGTAGGGGTGTGTCATTGTCTATCTGGCCAAATTTGCCCACTGGCCTCTGTCCATCATGGCCTCCTAACCATCCCCATATCTAAATTAGCTTATTCACTCTGTCTCCTTTAAACCAATAAGCTGGAGTTTGGTGTGGTCTTGTGTAAAATGTCTGCCTTCACATCATTAAGGTGGATGCTGCACACTGTTGGTGGATGAGGTGATTCCCCAAACATAAGTAAAACCCTCTCAATGTCTAGAAAAGCACTATATATATTTGAGGAATAATTATTATTATAGGATGTAGGCCAGGGGTGTCCACACTCGGTCCTGGAGGGCCGGTGTCCTGGAGAGTTTAGCTCCAACCCTAATCAAACACACCTGAACAAGCTAATCAAGCTCTTAGGCAGGTGTGTTGAACAAAGTTGGAGCAAAGATCAGCAAAACACCGGCCCTCCAGGACTGACTTTGGACAGCCCTGATGTAAGCTGTGTTTAGGATGTAAGCATATTTCCTAGAAAGCACCAGCTTTTTACACTTACTATTCATCTCTATTGGCAAATCTAGGCAGAAATGGTAAACAGACTTTACAAAAAACAGAGTAATGAGTTTGATCTCCATCTACCAACCCTGCAGCAATCACCGTCGCTGCCCTCATGTTTAACAGACTCAGCCTGGCCCAGCCAATCCATCACATTGTTTGTTATGTGAGCTGAATGTTCTTAGAGGAGACAAACATCCTCAGAACTAAATGTACCAAGTGTCCAGACAAGTGAAGGCGTGCATTCTTATGCTTCAAAGTTCAACCTGGTAGGGTTACTGCCGTCTGGCTGTGCGCTGACATTTTGTGAGCCCTGATCAAAAGGGCTCCGCTCACTTTGACAGCACAGAAGACCCCATAAGGTGCACTGCCACACACAAAAACTCAACAGGAACCACCAGGACTGAGACTAATGATGAATCACATGCTAAATATTTTCTTGCTGGTCATATTTATTTGGTTTTCAAGGACTCAGGTGATCTTACGGTACAAAACAGGAATGGTTTGAATGATTTGTCCTTGAATTGGACCAAGTGTCGAATTCAACATATTGAGAGATACCCTCACAAAAATTAACTATGGTTTTACTACAAACAAAACCAAAACATTTTAATTAAAGGGTTAGTTCATCACAGAATTAAAAACAATTTTATTAGTTACTCACCGTCATGCCACCCCAAACCTCAGAGACATTAGCCGCATTTCCACTATCGGGCCAGTGCGAGTCAGGGTTTTTATCGGGCCGGGCCGATTGCCCAGGAGGTTGAGAAGTGAGGCTAAAATCATGTCGCGTTTTCACTGTCGGGCTAGTAGCTCGCAGCGCGTCACGCAAACCCCGCCCCCAGAACGTAAGGAGAGCAAATCAAGGAGGACGCAGCAAAGAATGTCACTTACAAATTAAAACTACTTTATTATTTTATGCAGCAGCCTTACATTTAAAAGGGAAACAAAAGGGCGATCATATGCAAAAAGACCCAAGCCTATATGGCTAGATGTTTTCTTTCCCTTATTTATTTATTTATTTGGTGCATGTACTCGTGTGCGGTTAGAAAACTGTGTCCGCCTCTCCTTTCACTCCGCCCCGGAGCCCCAGCTGGCCCTCTTTGGCCCAAGGTATTCGGCGAGCTGAAAAAGGCTACCCGCTGGTCCAAAGAAAGCCTGCTTTGGCCCGATTAGGCCCCGGAAGTGACAGTGGAAAAGCGACTGGCCTTGGCTCGCCCTGGCTCACTTGCTTTAGGCGCGATATTGGAAATGCGGCTATTTATTTGCCTTCAGAAGACTAATTAGGTGAAACCTAACTGAAAAACATCAGTAAAAACATCCCCAAAAAGACCATATGCCTTCAGTGGTTCAATTGGAATATGGACACTTTTCACAAGATTATGACGTGTTCATGGGTCATCAGCAATCCTAAATCTTTCATTCATTAATTAATTTTTCCTTTAGCGTAGTCCTTGTATTTACTATTTAACATGCAAACTCCACACAGAAATGCCAACTGACACAGCCAGGGCTCATACCAGCTACCAGTGCTAACCACTGAGCCACAGTGCCACCATCTTAAATCCCTTGAAAGTTTTTAATATTTAGATTAAAGATTAGCAATTTTTATGTTTTCAGGGATGTAATGTATCATCTTTACATCAAATTACAAGAAAAGTTGACGTTGCTCTCTGTTATGGTACCGTTATCAGTGTCACACATTTTTTTTTCTTTTTCTGAAAGTCTTGATAACTCCATTGAGTTTTCTTTTATTATTTTAGCACATAGGATGGTTGTACTCTCCCATTCACTACGCTCTAAGTTTACCC